GGCCTTAATACAGACTGAAATTCACGGTTGGACAATGTGCGTTTTGCGTACGCGTATTTTAGCGAAACTCAGAACCCGGTTTTCACCAGCGTTGTTTAATTAAAATCTTAGATTAATTCATCCTTTGTCTCTTTCTAAAGGGACAGTTAGAAAGAGACAAGGATGAATTAAACTAAGATCAAAGTTAAACGACGTTGGTGACCAACAGGTCGTCCAAGAGTGGTGAAAAAAAAATCTGCGACGAGGTTGCATTAATTTACGCTCGCGCTTTGAAGAAAGTGTCCCGTAACGGAGACTCTCTTCCGGAACGATCGTTGAATCTTCTGGATTACGTGACGGTTTCGAAAAAATAATTTTTCCGACCGCACGCACTTCGCTGGCATCGATTTAAAAAATGTGCGAACGTAACTGTATCTTATTTTATTAAATTTCCAAATATCTCAACACTTGCGAGATTTGATCTACTTTGTAGATTTCACGGGGCGAGTCTTCTGTGTTCTATACGCGCGCGCCTATCTCGTGTCTACGTGTGGACGTTGCCTCCGCACGTTGCCCAAATCAAACGGGACTACAGCACTGGCTGTCCGATCGCTATCGTCAGCCAGTGTACGTACGCGGCCGTGACAACGTCGGTGCAGGCCGAAAGGCGAGGAAAGAACCGCAGTGGCGCTTATTGTTAGTCGGACCGCAGTCCACGTCGACGGCGGTTGATACTGTGCACGCTCGGGAGTCTCTTCGCGACCGCAGCGAAACCTGGACGCGTCGGACGATGAAAGGCACGATTGACGAGAATCAAGGTACGCCCCGAGGTGGGAAATAAGAAATACGAAATGCGAACGTGGCAAGGAGTCGACTGGAGTCGCCTGGAGAACCGGAATTCGAAAGATTCTCCGGGGACTCCACATTCTGGACTGTTACTGAGGTCGCGTAAAATACCAGATGTTTTATCGACCGACAATAACAATTTACAACGTTAATAATTATTGTTGTTACGTGCGTACCGTTTAACTCACTTATTTTTGTTTTAACAATCCTTGTGGTTTGTACCAAAGCTTATAAAGTTTCTCTTACTGGGATCGAGAGCAAATTCTATCTAGTTTCTATTGTGCATATTGTTAGAATGAACTGTCATTGCTCGTGACGATGCAGTAGGATAAGGTGACACCAAATGCGAATCAAAACTTTGGTGAGTCGGTAATAAGCGACATTTTGAAGTAACTCGCTTAAATTTTGCTCGTTTACTTTGTGCTATATTGTCGATATTGTAAAAGGCATCGACGTGTTCTTACGTCGCTTATTAGCAACTTATCAAATTTTTGATCCGCATTTAGTATCTGGGGGGTCAATTCTGTATCTTACACTATAGTGAAAATGCTAAAAGCGAGTAGCTTTGTCCCTTTTTTTTACCCTCAGGGGGTCAATTCTGTACCTTGCAACATAGTGAAAAATACTGAAAGTGAGCGACTTGTCTCTTTTTTACGGGGACAGTTAGAAAGAGATAAGGCTACTCATTTTTAGCATTTTCACTAGAGTGTAAGACACAGAATTGACCACCTGATCCCAATTTGATCACCTTACCCTATCAATAACAGAATGACGCAGCGGCCAGAATTTGAACATATCAATTACGTTGCGAGAATCAAATCCGACGGATGGCTTTATTAAAACCAAAATGGAAAATATCAATTGGAAATAATGTCATTGGCCACGGGCGATAAACACGTGCATTTCGTCATCGTACGGCCAGTTCCGTTGCTATTTTTAGGTGGACTGGTTCAAGGTTCGACACCGCGTATGTCGTGTTATTAAATAACATGGGGCTGCGATTCTGACGGTTAAAACTTCAGCTGAAAAAAAAGAAATAAAGCTAAACATTCACTTAAAGAAGAAGAAAATATAAATTTTGGACGTATGTAGATCTTTTATTGTTACAACGAGACAGGTCTAGATATTCAGGATTCTAAAAGTGTAGAAGCAGAGGTATGCGAAGAGTTTAAAAGATGTGTAATTAAGGTGCGATGTAACTAAGTAGCTGTAAACTTCGATATTTATTACGTAACGTTCGCATTTATTTGCATTTGAACGTTTGTTACGAATCGACAGTAATTCCATAGTTTCGCGAGTCACGCCTCGTTGGAACACACCGACGGTACACACTTGCGTAACCGCGCGAAAGTACAACGTACAAGGTGTCCGGGAAAGCAAGACTGGCTTTAAAGAATATTAAATACACTTTTTTATTAACTTCTATTAAACTTCATTAATTATAATAAGCTTCTTTCCCATCGAGCTCTCTGCGTTTTCATAGCGAACAGATATACGATTAGAATTGGAGAGAAAAAATGCAGAGAGTAACGAGAGAATGTGGGGAAGAAAGTAAATTTTTATTTAGAAAAACGCTCCGCAGGTTTCTTCAGAGAACAAACGTGTAACTCGAAACCCGGGAAAATTTTTACACCTCAGCCACGTATGCCCAAAAATTATATTTTCTTCTTCTTTATATGAACGTTTATCCTTATTTTTCTTCTTTTTCTTCAGCTGAAGTTTTAACCGTCAGAATCGCAGCCCCGTGTTATTTAATATTTATTTTTTGGCAAGTCTTGGTCTAGCTGCACCTTAACTTTATCTCTCGTATTTTTCTCTCTTGTGCCTCGGAAAAAATGAAACTCACAACACAGTAATTCAAGAAAATTATTCTTAAATAATCTTAAGCATATGTTTTTCTTGATTGAATTATATAAAATCCAGCGAGAAATGACTCGCCGATCGATGTCAAAACGATGTCGAATCATTTCTCACCGGGTTGGCTTAAAAGGGCCCGAAGTTACCCAGAGAACATGCACGTTTAAGGCCCGGTCTACAATGAGTCGTTAGTCGTTAGTCAGAAGTCGCAACTATATGTTGATCCTTTTTCTTTCTGGGTGGAAGAAAAAGGACCGACTTATAGTTCCGACTTCTGACTAACGACTAACAACTCATTGTAGACCGGGCGTAAAAGACATGCGTGTTCTCTGGGTAAGGTCAGACAGAGTTTGAATATAGACTCGAACTGTAAGATTACCACCCCTAACGAACGGGAGGGTTGAACGGCGGCGCGACGCTGCCAACCCCAACCTGACCCGACGTACGTCGCGACGGCGAACGTCTCTGTCCACTGCGGTCATCGTCGGTGATGTCCGCGACACGTGTCGCGCGGCATGACAATAGGTAAAAGCCTCACCTTTGCCCCCCTATCCTTTTCTGACCAAGAACGTCTTCCATGCACGTTCAGGCGCGGGTCCTCTCGACGGAAACGGAAAAGGGAGGAAAATGAAACGAACGAATCTGGGGGATGCAGCACTGTCCACCCTTCAGTTTTGCACACCCAACGCATTTGATCGCGCGACCTTGAACGCGGAGGGACGTGCACTGCAATCCTTTTCCTTGTGCTTGCAGAGACCGACGTGTCCGCGCTGTGCATCGATGTATCCAGGGTGAAATCGCTGGCCAGCGAATCACGGAAGTCCGTAAGTTCGCCCTCCTTATCGTAGTTTGGTGTAACGTTTAAATATTTTGACGCGGCCAAGATTACCTCCCGGTCCTTACTTGAAGTCCTTTCATTGTTCCATTATACGTTAGTTGCCCTTTAACCCTTTGCGGTCCGAATTGTTTATCGCAAATGAGCAAGGATCAGATGTCTCATTCGGCTCTAAGGCTGATATTATATTTGTCGTGCGACAAACTTTTCAAGCGACTCGAGAACTTTTCTATTCTGCGGCCAACGCACTTAAAAATTTTGTCGTACGACAAATGTAATATCAATCTAATGGCAAACATTCTTATTACCTAGAGAACTGCTCATTATCTCGCACTAATTCGAATACATGAAATGTTACGCGAAGCTTTAATTTAGCAAACACCAAAGTAATAGTTACATAACATCAATATAAATGTAATATAACAAGCGTGTGATATTAACGTTACATACTGTTACTTTAGTGTTTGCTGAAAAGAATCAGAAAGATTCACTTTTCGTCTCTTCCCGTTTCCTTTAGAAAGAGACAAGGAGTGAATTAAGCTAAAGTTAAAGTTAAGCGACGTCGGTGCACCCGGGCCTAAGAGAAACTCTTCTCGCGACGTGACATAATTGCTGACCCGTGTAATTTCTTTTTCTAGGAATGTAACAATGTACACGATACCGATCCCGGTGGATGGACCCCGTTGCTGGTGCTGGGGGGTGCCATTTGCTGCCTGGGGTCAGCATTACCAGCAGGATATAACATAGGCGTCATGAACAATCCTGCTCATGTTCGTAGTAGACCAATATGCAATTCCCTCGAGCGCGAGTGTTATCTCACGCTATCTGACGTATGTTCGGCTTACAGCTTATGCAATCGTTCTGCAACGATAGTGTCAGGGAAAGATATAACGTACAGTTGTCCAGCTATGAGCTTCAGATACTCTGGTCCACCATAGTATCGGTCTTTCTTGTCGGAGGTGTGACTGGATCCTTAATCGCTAGCTGGCTGAGCGACAGATTCGGGCGGAAAGGCGCGCTGAGCGTTGGAAATGTTTGCGGGATCCTGGGAGCCGTTCTGTTCCTCCTTGTGCGAACCGTTAACTCGATCGAGCTTTTCCTGATCGGCCGAGTGATCGTCGGTGAGTCGAGGAATCGTCAAGATTCAACCGTTTACCCGTCCTAACTGGACGTTTAATCGACGCGAAAGCACACGGCAGGCGTAATTTTAGCCGAAGACAATTGTATGGGCCTTCATTTCTTCAATTTGGTTTTTTCAATCCGCGTGATGTATAACGTTTCGAAATATTCGCAGGACTTTCCGGCGGCCTAGCGACTGCTCTGCTCCCGATGTACATGACAGAAATAGCGCCTTTAAAATTGAGAGGTGCCGTCGGGGTCTTGTGTCAATTGGGCATCACCTGCGGCGTGCTGCTGGGCCAGATCGCCGGGCTCAACACTGTCCTGGGCACTCCAGAATCCTGGCACATAATGCTAGCATCTTTCTTACCGCTGTGCGTCATTGCATTGGTACTGACCATCGCTTTGCCAGAGAGTCCGAAGTATCTATACATAACTAGAAGAGAACAGGGAAAGGCTCTTAAAGGTGCGTACAGATTTTACGAACGATCATCCGAGCGTTCTTTTCATCGTCCGACAATCTGCATCTCGGAACGTGTAATTGCTCTTGCATTTCGAATTCCGATTCTTTTTAGAACTCAGTCGTTTGCGCAACATGGACATAATGCTCCTGCAGAACGAGATCGCTAGCCTGCGAGAGGAACTAGCGATGAGATCGACAAGCGACACGTGGAACATTAAGCGTGTGTTGAGAGACCCGGCCGTGAGACTGCCTCTCTTCTTAGTGTGCCTCATGCAATTCGGTCAGCAACTCTCTGGCATTAACGCGGTTTTTTACTACTCGAACACGATATTTCTCGGGGCCGGCCTGGGAATTACCGGTGCTCAATACGCGACTCTAGCCACCGGTGTCGCAAACATCGGGATGGCAGTTATCTCCGTGCCGATAATGTCGTTATTCAGCAGAAGAAAAGTACTGTTCCTGAGCTGTTACTTATGCGTAGGGTGCCTTATCGTCCTATGCATCTCCATCGCGCTAATCGTAAGCGAACAATTTTAATAGCGTTGTAAAAATAGAACATTTTTACAAGTTTATTAATACTTCAGTAAGATACGTAGACGGATGTTTTAAAATAATCCGAGGCGAAAATCTAGGTCGTATAAGTCATCATTAAATACGACATACGCTCAATTTCGTTGTTGTTTTCTGCTTTTCAATGCTCTGCGTCATATTCTCAATGCCCCAAATTATAATCAGCTCATGAGTTGCGGTATCATCAACGTGCCCCAAAGTCGTATTTCTTCAAAAAGCAGCTGTTGGAGCACTGGCTCTTTTTAATATATTTAAATGCTACAAGTATATATATACTACGCTTATCCGAGCGTTTGTAACAGAGATTTTCGCCTCGGGAAATGTCTTGATAACATGTGTGTACAAGTTTTCGCGAGACCAAGCAATACGTCTCTTTGCAGCACACAGCCTCGTTCATGCCATGGCTCTGCACCATCGCGGTGCTGGCGTACGTTACATTTTACGGCATCGGTCTCGGTCCAATACCGTTCTTCATCGGCTCCGAGCTCTTCGACGTCGGTCCGAGACCAGCCGCTATGTCATTAGGTAGTGTGTTCAATTGGGGAGGGAACTTCATCGTCGGGATGGTATTCCCCTCGTTACAGGCTGCGATCGGCCCGTACGTCTTCCTGATCTTCGCCGGGAGCACCCTGTTCTTGGTGCAGATCAATCAGTACGTAGTACAGCTTCATTGTTATTCCGCGTCAGCACGATATTCTGTTCGCAGCGTGGTGTAAAACTGTTGGTACTTGTTACAGAATCTATTTGCCTGAAACGCGAGGTCGCAGCACGACGGATATAGCGGCAGCCATGACACAAGGTTTTAAATCAAGACCGAATGCAATTCCCGCCGCGTAGGCCAAACGCTTGTTAAGTCTAAGAGTCTGTTTTTTTTTATACCTGAACTGGCTGCATTAAAACCCTCTACATTAGGAGAGAGATAAACTCTGAACTAGTGCAGCCGGTAAATATTTACCGTGCAGCCAGTTCAGGCTGTAAAGAACAGACCCTAGGTACTTTTGCCTCCTCATAGAGGAAGCTTCGTTTTTTGTATGGATTTTTAATGAAATCAAATCGTTGCCACACTCGTACGCGAGTGACATTTCGCGCGTTGCTCACAACGCGATTTCACGCGATCGCGCGGAGAAATTTGTTAAAAAAAAGAAAAGAAAAGATTTCTCCCGATACGCAAGTAATTTATTCGAGCGAGTGCACTATGTGAATTTTTTATATACTATTTGTATACAGTTTATCGCGTAAACATCGGAAACAATGACGTAAGAATGGTATCTCGTACACGCGAGTGAAGCGCGCGCGGCGGCTAAGATTTTTACATTTATACAGTATCTTAATGTAACGTCCGTAATTCTAAAGTTTATATTCTTAAGGAGCGACCACTGCCAATACGTATTAACGTATCTTACGTATCAATTTATTCCGAATAGAATTGCAATACTTAATGTTCAACGTTCTTGAAAAAAAATCTTACAAAATTTTCGCTGCGCATACACATATACCTAGAGTAAATATTAATATAATTGCAACTAGCGTCAATCGGCTTGTGTTCTAAAATTTCTGTATAGTAGATCTAGCTGCTCGTAAAACACCAAGCACAGAACCGTATGCGGCGCTATCCTCATCCACGTTGGGAACGTCCCTTTGTACAGGCCGGTCAGACCTTCGGTGCGGGATATCTTGATCAGCCCGTCCATGAGTCCCTTGTACATGGCACCTTTCCCGGTCGCGTCGGTCCCTACGTTTGCATACATACGTTCAAAATGCATTTAGTGCTAGGCTGGCGAATCTCAAAAGCAGCAATAAGCGCATAAAAATCGCCTCCCAGTGAGAAATGATTTGTCGATCGATGTCGAATCGACATCGACACCTTCAAATTAATGTCGACTCGACATCAATTGACGAGTCATATCTCGCTGGGTTTCCTCATAAAATTCGCGACGCTATTGAACGATTCGGCGCTAAGAGCGATACGCCGATACCTACATTTCCGAACGTTTTCTCCAATCCAGCGTTTCACGTCACCCTCGAGAAATCTTGTGACGAATCTTTTACGCAAGGCATATATATTTATAGTCACGCGCGTTAGGCTCGTATTTATAGTCGCGCATACACCGCATTGTATTTATAGTTCGCGTATGCCAAGTTAATGTATTATCGCGAGATGAGTCCTAAGCGGAGCGAACGCGACAGGAAGTGATATTTTATCGGATAAGAATGTTGTACACCTTGCCGAGCGAATTCGCTCTTCGACCAAGCTGCTTTACACGAGCTGCTTCAATTTTGCCCAGCGAGAAATGACTCGTCGATCGATGGCGAAACGATGTTGAATCGACACCGTTTCGACGAATCATTTCTCACTGGGTGTGCAAATGCCGTTCATTGTTGCAAGTTGTTAATGACACGAACACAATCGTGGCCTTCGGTAAATCGCGCGTTTGACGCGGTAGACTCTACCGCGCAGTATACTTACGTTGATTGTACAGCCGCGTGGCCAGGACGTCGAACGGCTGCATAGTGACGGCTACGCAGCTACCTCCGATCACGGAGGCCAGGAAGGTCTGCAGTATCGGGCGATCTGGAAATATCTGAAAGAAATTAAAAACGCTCCGTTGCGCCGTACCGTCGAGTGACCCCCGAGTCTCGCACTGAGGTCCACCGGATCGCCGATCGTGCGCCTTTCGTGCACCCCGATTCAGGAGGAATCTAAAGTGCCGTTGAGATCATTCTATATTTTTGAAGTCGCCGCACGCGTGATCGGCATTCCTCTGGTTGCTCGCCAAATTCCTTTGGAAACCGCCCGGCCGGCCTCGACGAGCGGAGGAAATTCGAGACCTCAGTGCGAGGAGGAAGGTGTCTGGAGACAAGACGCGGTTTTATTTACATTTAATGAGCGCAGCCAGTCCGACGCTAGTCCGAAGGTGGTCAGCTGCGTCGCCGAGCCAACGAATACGCGCGGACTGTTGGCGTTCCAGCCTCGATATAGAGCCGTGACGCCACCCTCCATCCACAACGACTTGAAGGCGCCCCACGATCCCGCGTGATTGTGCTGGTAGCCCACGGCGATGGATTTCGCGGATTGCGCCTGCAGCTGCGTCTTTACCTGGAATAAAGTGTGATGCGATCAGATTATGAGGTCCACGCGTGGCTCGCGCCAAGTGTAGCGCCGGCATTCTTATTACCTACATTTCTAAGCGAAGATATTTTGCATCTTGTACCTTTATTAAATCTACTTTTGACTAGAGACATTTGTACATGTTCACTTGCGAGCGGCCGTACTGTTTAACGTAATCGTTTCTTGTGTCAGTCTATTCGTAACTTTGCTCAAAGCTTCGCAAACGATCCGTGGAATGTTCTATGAATTTCTCTCAAACGGACAGATGTCAAACGATGAAGATCTTTGAGGTCCTCATTATTGTAACGGGTGGAGCATACGTACGTGTAATTTTATACGAATCAAAGAGAAGGAATAGACGAATAGAAAATCAATTTAGGGCGTAAGGGCCTGAGCAGAATGGCTGTCTTGTACTCTTAAGACAATGTTCTATGTTTTAAATCGTTGTCTTAAAGTAACGCACAATAACTGTCTTGTTACTTAATAGTACAAGACCGCTAGAGTCCCTATAATCAAAGTCTGGTCAACTGGCCAACGGTCTCTAATCAAATACAGCATATGTGTCATGTAGAGTGAGAGGAAGCACATTTCTTTCTCTCTCGCATCATTTTGCCAAAACTGGCCTGTCGGCCAGACTCTGAGTGACCCTAAAGACAGCCGTTCTGCTCAGGCCCTTATAGTCTCGATGAATGGCCCGGCGAGAAATGACTGGTTGATCGACGTCGAAACCTAAGTTAAATCGACGTTAATTTGACGTCGATCAACGAGTCTCGCTGGGGAAAAGAGGCTCGGAGACGGTCGAGTGGACGATTACCAGGTACAACGGACTGCCGAGGACGGCGCCGACGCAGCCGGCCGTGCCGGACACCAGAGCGGTCCGCAGGACATCGGTGTTGCCGTACTTGTCGACGATCAGCTCGTATCTCTGGGCGGACTTGTACGCGCCCAGGCGAATGCCGTTGAGCACCACCTGGAAGGCGAGGGCGGGCACCAGTCCGGCCTGCAGGGCCAGCACGCCCTCGTGCTTGCCTATGAGGTACGCGGCGTGCAGGGTGTTCTTGTAGATCTTCGTGTACGAGCCCCGCGCCTCCAGTTCACCCTGCAACTGCAGCCGCACCTTCACCACGTCCACGGGATTGGTGAAGAAGCCGGCGCCTACCGCCGCCAAGGCGCCGATAGCGAACTCCACGCCTGGCCTGGGGAAAATAGACGTCGAAGAGTTAGAGAGAGAGCAGAGAATTAAATGATCAGTGATGACTGAGTCGCGTTAGAGCAAGAAGGGATAGAGGAAAGTCTTCTATTATGAGATAGGATCCTGATATGTGATAGCGGAGTTATCACTAAATCAATAGGCATCATCTGTTGGTTCCATCATGAACTTATTGCTCTTGGAGTGAAATCTTCTGTTTAGTGGAAAATTGATTGTTAAATCGTGTAATCGTTGCGAAAAGAGAATTATCATTGAAAACCTACTATCTCATAATAGAGGACTTTCCTCTATATATGTGACGGTATCATATATTCGTGGTCGAAGAAACTATTTTTGTAAACATAACGTGAATTTTTCCAATGGGTTTTGTGTTAGAACAAGGATCCATTATTGAATTAATTTCGGTCAAAACGTTACGTCTCTTCTTTCTGTTCTCGCTGATAGAATTGCTGGACACATGGGAAGAAAATGACCTTGTTTCTTTTCCTTATCTAAAATCACATGTTTCCTTTCACTGATAAACTATCAGACACACTAAAAAGATTAGCTTGTTTCATTATCTGAATCTACGAATGTTGAAGACATTACTTGTCGATACAAAAGAAAAAGAAGGGAAAATAAATCCCTCAATCTAATATTTTCTACTTTAATTTTATTTTACTGTTACGTAAATAGTACAATGTTCTTTTTTTTGCGTTTATAAATAAGTAGTCGTCATGTGCAACGGTAAGACTCGCATCAAAAGTATTAAGCTGATGAGAAGTTGTTAAAAAATTGGTTTTCCTATTTCACATGAATTATATATAAATTATATGTAATGCTTAAAAAATATTTTACGAAAAATATATATTAAAAAAGATAAAAAACTTAAATTTAATATATTTCCCCGTCTTCCATCCTTCACTCTTATATCCTCTATTCCTTCGAATTGTGATTTCACGTCAGAGTCTTAAAAATTTTATTGTTTAATATATTTCATATATGGAGAACGTATTAAATAAGAATCTTCAAGTTGAGAAATTCTTAATATATTCTCAAACAGCACGGAGATTCCAAAAGGAGTTCTTTTCGAATATCCGAATTATAAAATAAAATTCTCTTAGCAACCTATTTTAAAAGCATTCTTAAGAGTTTAAAACTAATTCGCTACTATGTCGTCAATTCTGAGTTCTTCTCCGAATACGAAAGGATTTCTTTGTATTCAGAAAAAAGGTTCAATCAACTTCTTTCTACTTTATTATAAAAAGTCAGAAGGTATATTTCTAGGAAATCTTTTGTCAAGTGCCGGAAAGGAATTCCTGTGAGTTCATTTTGAGCGCATTACGCCAGGAATTTATAAAAAGTGAATGCTTTTGAGCTTATAATCATCTGTGTTACTCGAGTTCTTTTTAACGAAAAGTTGATTAGTTCGTAGTGAGAATATTTCCACGGAGCGAGTCGCTATCGATTACTCTTCATCGATTCATATCCCTAACGACATTCGAAAAGAATTTACTAAGGATATCCTAATATTGGAGCAATGCCTGTGTGTATCTTATACTTTGCGATATCCCCCAAATATTCTCAAAATCTCTACGTGCTGTTAGGCTTGTTTAGTAAGTTGATTTCGATTATCAATTTTACAAACTGAAATACGAATTCCTTTTGATTCACCATATCACTCGCGCCCCCGGAAGTTATCGGGCATTAAACGCACTATACAGGGTGTCCCAGGCTTAGAGAGTCACTTTTCGTCGACTTTCGAAACTTTGGACAGTCTATTAATAAGAAAGGGAAGACCATCGCGCGTCCGCCCGTCCTCAGACTTATCAAACCGAGTTCCGAGAGGCTCGGGCGCTTTCATTCGATTCCAGTTTGAATCGGAGCCCGGCGCTACAGGAATCCTCTTTAATCTCTCATTGGGAGAACGTGAGCCCCAACGCAAGCGTCGATCGCGGAAAGAAAAGTGACTCTTAAGTAACACCTCGCACTTCACGTAGCCGCGTCGAAGTGACTGGCCGGTTGATTGTTACATAACACTCGCTGCATCACGCGCCGGTGAAGCAGCGCACCGGGAGAGATTCGGTCAAGAATAGTCGATGATCGAGGACGGACGTGCGCGACGGCCCGACGCGATGAATGAGAAGCCCCGCACAGCCAATGCTCACGTTTTCTCGACGACCGCGCTCATCTCTCGTGCGGGAGGAGACGGGGCGAGAGGGCCGATTTTTTTTTCAAGTCCACGTTGAATCCCACCTGGGAGCAAACGCCAAAGCGGTTTACATCGAACGCAGCGCCGGCGTCGAGTGCGTCTTACGTATATACGTGTACATGTAGCAATCTTGACGTATGTTAACATCACATCCCCTGCGTCAATGGCATTTACACGCGCGATAACCATATTTAGTTATCGGACTATGTTACGTGGCGTATAGTTTTTATCTCGCATTTACGGGCCTGTTCTGTGAACGTTAACGACGTCGTTACGTGCTTTGCGCAGTTTTTCTTTTCGCAATAAATTTCAAACAAAAATTATCCCGACACCTCCAACATCCTGTTACGGCCCTTCAGTCCTTTGTTCCTTCGAATTTGTGTTTATCACACGTGAGCCTCGTG